AGAATGGATGTAGGAAAGTGGCAGATTAACTCACATGCAGACTTACTGACTCTCGATTACTCATGTTTCTCGAACTTCAGATATGATAATGACTATCTCGAATAGTTAATCACTAAAGCAGAAAACTTCTTTTTTTAACAATGAATCATGATATTTGATTGAAAATCTGCATAAAGGTGTTAACTATCAGCTATAGTATATCGGGTATTTATCGTCTCTATAAATTCTTTTCCTACTTTCAATTATTCGTGTATTCTTGTTCAGTGTTGCTATTTTCTATTGTTTTTTAAAGAAATCTTACGAAACATGTAAATAGTATATTAGAAATTTCTTTTGTGCTTTCCTTAAAAGTTTTTACAGGAAGAATCTTTCCAAGATGAACTCTTCATGAGAACAACTTTTCTAGGGTGCTTATATCTGAATGATCAAGTGCCCAGGTGCAACTATCCATCACTGTCACATATATAGTTAATGGAAAAATTATGGGGCATCTCTTCATCATCACTTTATTTTCTCTCATTTACTTGAACTACACGAAAAGGAGGGTTCGAACACAGGCTATAATGTAGCTCATTGCCAGTAGTGTGTATGCTATTATTTTAAGGTTTTTCTTTCTTGGCTTTCTTATTTTATTGAAGAAATAATAGAGAAATCTCGATCTTTGCGTCCAAAAATTATCGGTCCAATTTTGTAAAAGTTTTTTTCTCTAACTAATGATTGTTACTAGCGAATTTTTTTGCTTTTGGCTCTAGTCTAAATCTTAACGAAGAGATATCAGTTGAAATATATTGAAAGAATCTTTAAAAAAATGACTTGCTTTATTAAAAAGATATGTCATGACTAGAATCTCAATATATCGAACAGAGAGAAATGCATTTGCAGAGTTTAGCTGATTTCTAAGTAAAAATCAAAATAAGAATTGAGAATAATGATCAATATGAAAATAAATATAAGTTTTGAATGACATACGAACACACTTCGATATATATAAATTAAAAAAGTAATGAAGTGACTTGGCCTTGTAGACTTAGCCATATGCGAAAAACATCGCCTGTGATTCTAAAGTCTGAAGCCGTACGAATACAACTTGCTTATTCGAATAGATGATATGTTTAGTAGAGCTAGAAACGATCAAAGAGTCAAAGCTAGTAAGTAGTTCAATTAGTTTATAGAGGTTAGAAGAGTAATCATCATATGCCGTCATAAACATGAAAACAGCACCAAATAAAAGTATCCACAAAAACTCACTGGCATGGTTATTTTATCTCGTACACATTCTCCATGTTCAGTATGGATGACATACTTATCACCACATCAATAATCATCCTTTGAAGAACAAATGTTCAATTGTGGCGGATAGTTTTTCTTTGACGAATTTTTTATGCTCATAACTGTTTATGACGGCTACTCTTCTACCCCCTATAAACCAATTGAAGTTCTTTCTAACTTTGATTTCTTGATGGTGACTAGTGTGACTAAATGTGCTCTATTCGAATATGAAATTTATATCCATATTGCTCCCGAATTGGATACTACAACCGACATTTTTCGAATGCCACCGGGTCTACAAGAGTAAGTCACTACATTTTTTTCAATTCATGTATACCGAAGGATTTTCACATGCCTTTCAAAGCTTATATTTATACTCATTGTGATCATTCTTGTCAACCCTTATTTTGGTTTTTAGTGAGAAATCAAATTAACTCGACAACCATCTTTCTCTGTACAATATATGGGAGACTCTAACCAAGATCCTCTTTTCAATAGAGAGAATCTTTTTTTTAATGGTTTCTTAAGATGGTTTCAACTGATATTTATTCCTTAAGACCTAGAGTAATAAACGAAAGCAAAAACATTCGCTGTTAATAATCATTAGTGAGAAAATGAGTTCTTCCGCGAACCTGGGCCAATAATTTTTCGACGCAAAACATTGAGAAATCTCTACTGTTTCTCAAATAAAAGAGGAAAGGCAGGAGAGAGCAACTGAAAAATAATAGTATACAGACTACTAGCAACTGGCTACATTATGGTCTATGTTCGAGGTCTATTGTTCATTTGGGTCCAACATGTCAGAGAAAATAAAGTAATGCTGAAGGAGTGGATTAATAATTTTTGAACCTACTGTACATCCCTCAGATTCTAGACAATTTTAGTGTACATATATAGTCTACTTCCAAATAAATCTACTTCAAAAAAATAATATGCAAAGAGACTGTTCTAATCATAAGACGATATCGCACAAGTTCAGTCAATAAGAAGTTCAATATGCATGATCGAATAGGCAGCTCCCACTTACCAAGTTCATAAATTAATATGATCACATTAGGTTGTCACTGGCATTTATTGTATAGCCTTCAAAAATTTTGCGATACCCTGCAATTTGATCTTTGAAAAAAGTTATAAGCACCTGTAAGATTAAAACATTTTTCAAGATTTTCATGCAATTAGGTATGTTTTCATCATGATGGACATTTCATACTAAATTAATCACGAAATTCTTTCTTTATAAAAAGATCCAATTCTATCTTATACAATTACAAAGATTTTAGAAAACGCTGAACATATTATTTAATTAAGCTGAACAGAATGCCTTGAATTAATTACATTTTAAGGTTGTCTCAAAAGAAACACTATCGCTAGACAAAGTAAACAGCTAGTAGTAATTAGTGATACTTGAGAAATTCGAATCTGTAAAGTTTCATACTATCTTGAATCAAACATATACCAATCGATATAGCTTACTGAACTGTTTCTAATTCACTGCATTCCTAAGTTGGCACAATGAATGAGACGAATCATTTTTGAAAAATCTTGAATCGACTACTAACTTCTTTTGTATATCAAAATATTACAGTAATTTTATCGCTTTTTAAATCTTAAGTATTTTTTTTAAATTTTATTAAATTCTGTTTGACTTGTGATACTTAAAAGTTTTGAACTAAATGAATTTCAAGTATCATACCCAAATTCTGTCAAGTCAGGTTTAAATATTATCGTTGATGGTTTGATCAAAAATCATTATTCATCTTGTACTTCACTTTATTATTTATCCTAGTCAATTCTCATTTAAAGAATCCTAGGAGAGTCATTGAAAAGCTCTCAAACGAATTACAACGTCTGTAAATGGTCGTATATGATGTTTTTATCATCGTGTCCACATGTAACATTGGTCAATCAGGGAGCAGTGACTTTCTCTTTCGTCCGCGCTTTTGTTAATATAAAAATTCAATTTGACTTTTTAAAAGTAGTACTTACTTTTGCAGTTATTCTTGAGATTGATGTGAATAGAAAATATATAATTAAATTTAAAAAATACTCATTGTTGCAATAATTTTGTTGTGCCTAATCGAAATCAAAAAAATATATTTCATTTTTTGAAGTACAAGTTACGATTGTGATTATTGTTGCTGTTCACGTAAAATATGTGATTGTGAAGAAAACTCACATTCATATCAACACCAGCACATTTATACTCACCCACATTCACACGCTCAAGATGCGTAGAAAACTCATTCTAAACAATAGACATATGTTTCATATAATATCCATCATAATCTTATTCCTGTTCTCTAAAGAAAGATTTGTGCTTATATTTTATACATCTTGATTATTTATTTCTCTGTATGTACAAAATTGATTTTTATTCAAAGTGATCTTTGTTTTTTTTTGAGTTCATTATTACCATAAAATTCTAAGATAAATATGATGTTTTCGAGTAGTTTCATCATATTTAACATGTTCAATTTGAAAACTAGTTGAAGCTCCTAATAATACTTCTTCTTCCACAGGAAAATTTGATATTGTCGATATATCTAAATGTTGTGATTGTGATGGTACATTAATAATAAAAAGAGTATTTCCATCATAGATTTCTGCTAAAGCACGATTTTTACTTGTTGATGAAAATCCAAGCCATTCTTTAGGATTTTTTTTAATAGAATTTTTGTAAGCATCAATTTCATCAAGTTCTAATGAAGCACTACGATAAACTAAACCTGTAAATTGATATTTTGATTTTAAATTTTCTGATGAAAGACTATTCCAAAGAAAATCACAAAAAGGTCCTAAAGTATCAACTTTTGATAAATCTTCTTCTCTCAATGCTTTGTTTAATAATTTGTAAAGAAAA